CTGTACAGTAGAATCCCTCCATTGGTTCACAAACTGTGTCTGCAGTTATTTTACATCCCAACCTTTCCTTCAGACCAGCTCCTGTGAACACATACAGATTCCACATGTATGGAGGAAACTGACATCAGCATGGTGAACCTCAAGACATCTTTAAGTGAGACAAAACAGCAGAGATACCAGAATCATTCTCATGATTTATGTTTGTGTTCTAAATAATAGCAGTCCAACATCACTAAGATTAGTCACTGTTTCTATAGAAATTATATTTCTGCATTGTAAGTAAATTTATGTCAGATGTAGAGTGACACTTCTTCCAATCATGACATGAATGCTGCTGATTCTGTTTATTTACATCATTAACTGAAATTAGTAAGATGAAAAGGATCAACCACAAAAAGTGAGTGAGGAATTATTTTCTGAAAAATAAAATGATAAAGGTTTTAGATCATCAATTTTTAACACTCTGCAGATATTACAATATAACTGTTTGTGGCGTTGAGGAAGCAGATGTGAAACCAATTTCGTCAAACAAAACAAAACTTTTCACACATTCACACTCATGGAGGTTAAGTTACATTGTAGCCACAGCTGACAGAGGCAAAGCTACAATGCACCAGTGCCACGACCAGCAGGGACAGTGAGTGAAATGTCCAGCCCAAGAACAGGAGCATCTAGTTTATATATTTAGGAATTAGAACAAAGAGAAACTCCGATTAGCTTATCTAGAGAAACTATTCATTACCTTAGATCAACGTTGTCAGAGCAAGAATCCAGAGAAACCCCTGCTAGTTTATTAATCACAGACTACTTATTCTTACATGGGATTATAATTTTTATTTTCCCGTTTTCTTCGTTTACGCTTTCCTTTGGTTTGTTGTTTTGTTGTATTTCCTTCTAATTCATGTAAAGCACTTTGAATTGCCCTGTTGCTGAAAATGTGCTGTATAAATAAAATTACCTTACCTATTCATAAATTGGGTAAGCAAAACTAGGAAAACATGCAAATGCTCTTAAAGGGGACTCATTATGCAAAATTCACTTTTTGCATGTTTTTGTACTTCCATTTAGGTTTCTGCTGCATCTAGAGATGGCCCAAGTGCTAAAAAAAAGACATCCAGCCATTTTCAGGCAATAAGAATGTTTTTTGGTGTCTGATATTGGAGCCATTTCTAAAACCTCCTGATTATGACATCATTATCAGCGATCACTGCCTCTCACCTAGCAACCCATGTAGAGTCTGGGTCTTATGTCCCACTGGTCAAATATGTCCGACTGTACTCTTGCACATTTGTTTGCAACCATTTTCACATGTATAAAGTCAGAAAACACTGATTTTAGGGATGTGGCCAGTTTATTTGTATAAGAGTGACAGAACCCTCATTCTGAATGGACCTCAAATTAGGCAGACCTGAAAGGTGAAATATCATCTGAGAATGATTTTGTACAAGAAATGTAATGAATATGTTCTGTATAGCCTATAGCTATCATAACAAGAAAGCATAATAGGTCCCCTTAAAGAAAAGAATCACAGCATAATGGATGTATTAGAGCTGTGACTTTCAGCAGATATTACATTTATTGCAAACTTAACATGTAGAACTGTCTCTGCCCTGCTGTAGATTCTGTACAATTGAATAATTAACTAAAAGTAGCATGTTGAGCAACAACACATAGTTCAATCACTGAGGCCATTTTCTCACATTTATTGTAAGATAAAAGCCATTCTAAAGATATTGGATATTTTTTTTTAATTCACTGCAAATATTTTGGACTGTTTGTGGTTGTAAACAGATTTTCTTATGGAAAATAAAATAAAATAAAAAAGAAGTTGAAAAGTAACAGTCAAGTAACTGCACCTGAATCACAGGTAGAACATGGATAACATCTCTTTAGTCCATTTGGCAGGTCCATATAAGTCCCCTCTGGGCATTTCTGACAGGATATACTTTTAAACTCTGTACAGTCTGTTTTGACTCGAGTGCCTGTTGAGAAATAAACACAGTTTTTCATTTTAAAGAGCAGGATGGTGCTTTGCATGATGAATCACCTTCAGGCCATGAAAGCAGTGCAACTGTAACAGAGTTTATATCAGAATAATCAGTAATTCATAACTAACTGGAACATACCAGGAGGACACATAGGACAGCATTCACCCTCTATCTCGTACTCAGTTAGATGACATGTGACTGAATCGACTCTGAAGTCTCTCATCAGAATCATCTGTGAAGAGAGAACAGTTTTTCTATCACTATTTTTTTTCCTTGTTTTGATTACTTCTTTTAGCAATTCTATATCAGCGGCACATTAATACCTGGACAGACAAACAGACAGTTAATTTGTTATTTTTGAAGCACTGAGAAGATTATGAAAGCCTTATTCCACCTCAAGGTTACAGCTACGGTCTGTGATCAATTACAAAGTTCCTTCTCTTTACCATTTACATTTACAACAAAATAAAAACAGAACACAAAGAGGGAGCAAAGGAGTACTACTTTGAAAATACGATAATTTTATGTACATAACCATAAGGAAATTATACAGCAAATAGACACTTCCTGAAAGATGAAAACTCTCTTTTTACTAATTTTTATCAATCCAATATTCATGCATATTGTGTTTAGTTAATATATGTCACCCATTTTGACCATAGAATTTTAAATTTGTTCATCTGAAAACAGATTGAGAATGTTTATCTTTTCATCTGATAGATTTCATGATCACACCCTGTTCATTCTTCTACAGTGGGTGTGACAGTCTTTTTTTCTTTTACACTGGCTGAAATTAATATCAGTCAAAGATATTTTGTCTGTCAGACATGAAAAATTTCTGACACGGATATTTGCATTGTTAGGTAGAAATTCTGTGTAACCCAGATTAAAGGTGGTGAATTTAAAATGTATTCTTATATTAAAGGTATTTTCAATATTTTGTGTATTTCTATCCAGTAGTCTTACAACCGTCATTTATATTACTAGGCTGGCTTCTAACAGGTGTCAACGTCTCCTTGGCATTATTTGCTGCAATTACTGAATTTACTTTATAAAATTTTAATTCACAACACATTTCATCTCAAGGAACATTACATGACTATTCATATCCAAAAAGCTGCAATCTATACAACTTAGTTCTTGAGATCCAAATTTGATTAACATGCAAATTTCTTCTGTTTTTGCTTTTCTGTCAAACCACAAAACACATTTTTAATATCAGACAAACATAGCCTTGGTTTTTTTTTAAGATAATCTTATTTATCAGGAAATTACCAAATCTACAGTCTGACCAGTTGAAACAAGAAATCACTTAATAACTTCTATGACAACATAAAGTAGACTGAAATATCTCAAACAACACTTGACTGATCTGAAGAGATTTAAAATGAGAAACAAATTCACTGGCATCCGTCAGTCTGGAAAGGGTTCTAGATCCATTACTGAGTCTTTGGGATGGAAGAGAACCTCAGTGAGAACCATGATCCACAGATGGAGAACTTATGAACTCATGTTTTACTTGAGTCATTTGTTTTATTGCAAGTTAATGTTTATTGTGACTATGTGTTGTAATAGAGTGGTTTTGTTTTGTTTTTCAGTCTCTGTGTGCTGCAGTCTTGGACAAATTTCTCTTGTAAAAGAAATATTTGGATTTCAATGGGACAAACATGCTTAAATAAAGATTATTATTATATTATTATTGAACAGTGAAGAATATTCCAAGGAGTGAGGAGTCCACCAAAATGACTCCAAGAGGAATCAATGACCTCTACAGCAGGTCACAGAAGGACCTAAAACAACATCTAAAGCTCTCAGGGCCTCATTGCTTCAGTTAAGGTCAGAGGTCAAGCCTGGAAGAGAGAGAGAAAATAACCTTCATAGGAGAGATCCACTTTCAGAATCACTGTTGACCCAAAACATCATAAAAGTCCGTCACACATCAACTAACAAAAACATCCTGACATTCTCCATGACATTTAGGAAAATGTTCTGTGGATTTGCCATTGTTGTGTCCATGACTCTATATGTCAGTTAAACTAAGCAGCATTTTACTGCTGCTTACAGTTTATTTGTTGTCCATGTGTATCTGCTGTATTTGTCTTTGATAAACACCCTCAACCTCTGATTTGCTAGACAACAAACATTTTGTCTCTGGTCAAAGTAATCAGACCTTCCTCCAGATCTATCAAGGCTGCTGACTTTATGGTGGCCACCAGCCAAGAAAAAGACATGGGAAATGTGGAGGCATGAGACTCAGGAACTACAGTGGTGGGAAAAGTGATTTCCCTCTAAGCCAAATAACTGGTTGGATCACTAATAGCAGTAAAAACAACAGCGGCCAAGTGTTGATACCATACAGTGAGTCTTTTCTAGCTGTGGAGGAATTTTGTTCCATTAATCTTTGCTGAATGTCTCTAATTCAGCCATAATGAAAAGTTTTCCAGGATGAACAAACTTTTCAAGGTCATACCGCAGCACCTTAATAGGGTTCAGGTCAGGACTTTGACTAGGCCACTCCAAAGTCTTATGGACAGCAAAACAGCCGCAGGCCAACACACTCCCACCACCATGTTTTACTGCTGGTGTGACCTTTATCTGAATGCTGGGCTATTTTACGTCAGATCTAATGGGACACACACCTTCCAAAGAGTCCATAGAATGTCTTCCTAAGTCTTGGGGATCATCAAGACAAGTTCTGGAAAAAGTGAGAAGAACCTTACAGTTCTTTTCTTTTTTCTCATTGGTTCTTGAATTTCTCTGGATCTCAGAATGATGTCTAGCTTTCATTTGCTGTTCTTCACTTTGTCATGCAGGTTCTGTTTAAGTTATGATTTGATTAACATCAGCTGTGACAGTAATCAGTCCTGGGTGTGGCTAGAGACAGTGACCTCAGCTGTGATAAACCACACTTATGTTATGGTGAGGGCAATCATTTTTTCCACGCAAAGTTATGTAGGCTTGAACTTTTTCCTTTCTTAATAAATAACTACTTTCATTTATAATCTGCAATTTGTTTTTTTGTCTGTTACATCTGTTTTGATGCTTTTGTCTTTGACCAATATTTACAATGGTTTGTTTTCTGAAACAGTGAAGTGTGACAAATATGTAAAAAAAAATAAAAATAAAAATAAATTGGGAAATCAGAAATTGAACTAACATTTTTTCACACTTCTGTATATAGATGAAATATGTTGTGAACTGTAAACCATTTTGTTCATCTCTGCCAGCACAAGACTGTTTAATACTCCATCATTAGATTCATCCAGTTGCTCCTTCTCTTCCTTTGGATGTGTCACCAGAACCGACCACATAGGGAAAGTTCTGGATCTTAATTTAAGATCCGGGCAAACACTGTAGACACTACATTATCTTGGCTTCATACTGATGTGTTTATCTGGAAACAGTTTAGCTGGGAGACTCCTTCTTTCATATCTTCTAGAATACTTTGTCCTGGACATGAATTGACTTTTATGTAGTAACAAAAAGTTGTAAAACAGCAGATGGAGGCAAATAAGTTGGTCAACAATCTGTGTACTCTCCTTCAAAACGTAATACGCTTCTGCCTCGGCACTTTTTAACCAAAAAAGGCATTTGTTTTCAAGACATTGACTTAAAATGAAAGTGCAAGTAAATGGATCTGATTATGAAGACACTGAGTTTACACTTGGCCACCATTAAAAATAGCATTTAAAAAAAATTGTATTCTAATAAAATATCAATTTTTATGTCATAAATAAATTTACCAGTAGCAGACATTTTGCCACCCAACACATCATTGTTAAAGACAGGATTAAACTTCTCTGGTGCTGAACACATCATCTCATGGAAATGCAGGATGAACCAAACTGTGACTCCGAATGCTGAAAGTCTTCATCTGCAAGACAAGAAACAAAGAAACAAACACACTGTTAACCTGTAGGAACTCAGGAGACTTTAGCATGAAGCAGGGCTGCAGGATATTGGGAAAGCATGTGATATGTGATTTTGTTACTGAATGTTGAAGTGATTATATGATTTGTTATAAATAACTAAACATTAGTAATGCCAATCTTCTATGAACATACACATTGAGGCGTCAAGTCAACTACTGCAAAAGAAATACAAGTTCTGTAGGTTTTGGTCATAAGATTAGAATATCATGAGAAAGTTGGTGTAAATCAATAATTCCATTCAAAAAGTGAAACTTGTACATTATATTCATTCATTATATACAGGCTGATATATTTTAAATGTTTATTCCTTTAGTGTTGATTATAACTAATGAAAACTCCAAATTCACCATGTCAGAATATTAGATATTGTGAACAGGTTCAATATTGAAGACCCTTGGTGCCATAAATGTTACCAACATCACAGGATTTGTTGTTGATGAAGAGGGGACTAAGCAGAGTTGAAGAGTTTGTGAAAAAATAATTTGTTCCCATGTTCTGGAGGGAAACGGGTAATTTCAGGCAGCTAAAATAATTGGTTCCCCCCTAGTAACTTTGGCAAATAATAAAATATTTTCAAAATCTCAATGATTGTTATGTGTGACAGTATGACTGAGCTACCAAAGATTAACTAGAAATTTCTTTTATCCAGAAATCTGTCATATTTTACATAACAGGATTTACCAGAAAGCCTACACGCTCATCTTTTCAGGAAGTCTTAATTTTTTGTGCCCTGTTGTCAGTCAGCTTCTATACTCTTATATAAGTAATGAAAACTCAGAAATATGCACAATGTGTTGGAAACCCGTGTTTGATGTCTGACTTTTGTCAGGCTCAAGTGACAAAAGTTGGAAAAAGATCGATTCTCTTCGATCTTTGTGTGGAGGTAAAAAGACCTCCACACAAGACCTCGTTTATTTATT